GTTTTTTTGTGTTCAATAGGTACACTTCGCCAATAGTTTGAGTGTCCAATAGGTAATAGGTTCAGTTTAAGTGTCTAAATGGAAAATGGTGACAACTTTAAGGGGTTGCGTATGTATTTGGCATATATATATCGAAATCGAGACATTAGCACTTTAGCTGAGCTAGTAAAAAATTATTTGTGGACTATGATTCTAGTATTCTTCCTTGACTTTTATTTTATTTTATTAATCTTAATTTTCGTAATCAAAGAGGGTTTTGCTTGCCAACTACAACTTTTAACAAGCTGATATTCCGATTAATAAACTGGGATTGTTTTCTTGTAAAGATAATAAGTCAAACTTTAATTTCTTGTCAAATTCGAACAGCATATTTTAGCATATTCAAAGACTTGATATTTTCCTTTTACTAAAAGTAATGCTATTAAGTTATTTTTGTATACAAAAATTCTAATTTTTTATTCACATAGTAAATACAAATGAAATTGATCTTTATCTATATCCATACTACTAGTTATAGAGTACGTCTTTCGCACGTATAACCTAGCGATTATTATAAAGTTTAAATGTAATAATCTTTAAATATAATGTATAAATTAAAATTACTTATTTACCTTATAAATAAAAATCAAAGCTTATAGAAAGTGCAGTTTTTAATTCTGGATGATTGTTATTATAATTAATATTGTAAAGGGCCTTTTGTTCCTCCTTTGTTGAACTTCCTTGGAGAAGGAAGGGAAGTTACCCTGCCAAAATTCAAATGATATTTTTTTTCATAAAAAAAAAAATATTTAAAATCTAATTCGCTTATACTCATAATGAAGACTCCTAAACCTAATAGAGTTCAAGGTGCACAATATTTAGTTCCTCACTTTGATTTCTCCAATTTAGGTGTCAACTTGAGATTTTTCCTTTTTTGGTGTTAATTACTTTTTCAAATAAGAAAAAAATTTATAATTAAAATTTTACTTGACTCAAATTCCTAAATATTAGGAAAATAAAAATAAATTATAATTTTATCTAGTGTGAAATATATTTTTGAAGGGTAAAAAAGATGATAATATTTCATTAAGGGGTTTCGTGCTTTTAATATATTATTAGTCTTAGAATATGCATTTTGCGCGTGTACCCATATTAATAAGTAAATAAGTTTAAAAATCACTTAGATATTATCATATAATTTGTTAGAGTTATAAATTAAAAATTTTTTAAAAAATTATAAGTTCCTAAAAATGATGAATGTCGACCCTATTTAGCTAGTTCAATAAAAAAAATAATCATGTCCCGCTAACGTTCACAAATCCTTGTTGTGATTTTGAGGACTTTCTGGGAATATTTTATGACAATTGTTAATATTTTATTGACTTAATACTGAAAATAAATAACACAAAAATATTGTTATTATTATTCTTTGAAGATTTGACAAATAAAACAAATTAAAAAATTTAATTTTTTGATCTTTTAGAGATTCGGGAATGAGAAGTTTATCTTATAGCTCTTAAAATTTGATACGTGATAATCTAAAGTCTAAAAATGAGTAATGTTTAGTTAATATTTTATAATAAATAATTATGAACTAAATATAGAAACCTATTATTTGCCGGAACAAATGCGAAAAAAGGAAAAATTAATTTATGACAACTCAAATAGAATACATCTTGTCATTTGTTATTTCATCTTTATTGCTTCAAGTTTACATTTTACCAATTAGACTCTTAATACTATATTATAACTGGGTTTGCTTTATTTTTTGATTGGTTTTAATACTAATGTTCTTTCTATAAAAATAACTTTATGTACCCTAATTAAGAGTTTGTCAAATTGAAAATTTATTTTTCATGAATTTAAAAAATAATTGAATAGGTTTCTTTTGCTAATTAGTTGTATAATTTAGAGACTTAATTATTTATTATCAATATTAACAAAAATAATGTATTTTTTATTTATTCAAATTCTTAAAGGTCATATCATGATATAAATATCTAACTATAATTATAATTTTATCCACTATAAATTATATGTTCAAAAGGTTTAAAAAAACTAATATGATCATATTTCACTTTTGAATCTTTGTGTTTGCAGAATAATTAGTGTTATTGACTCTTGCCAGCTACTTTTCTGATCTCTCTTTCTCCCTATCTCTCTATATCTTTTATATTTTTAAATATATAGTTGCTTGTTCTAATTGGTAAATGTAGTTTTCAAAAATTATGTAAAAAATATATTATTTGGATGAAAAGTAGCCCAAATTGATATGCAGATGTATTATGGTTCATATATATAGTTCAAAGTTAATATGTAAAGAATTATAATTATATTACATTTTTTAAATAAATAAATAATATATATTAGATAATTAATATATTAAATGATTTTAAAATCCTATATTAAGATCTTTTACATAGTTCAAATAAGGAAATAGATAAAACTTTAAGTAATTTTGAAAAGGGGATAACTTTCTTAAGTATATTAACCATTATTTTTTATAAAATTAGCACATTACATTTTGTTATAATTTTTTCTAAATAGATAAATAGCTTATATTATATATTTAAAATAATAATTGATTTTTACTTCCTATTTAAAATTTCTTACATGTTTCAAAGTAATGATTAGGCAAACAAACTTTATTTGATTTGGAAAAAAGATAACTTTTTAAAGTTTTTACCATTACCTAAATATTAGGACTTCTTACCTAGTCCAAATAAGGAAAAGTTTAATAACTAAAATTTTATTTGATTTAGAAGTCTTAAATATTAGGAAAATAATTAAAATTATAATTTTGTCCAATGTAAAATTTATTTTTAAAGGATAAAAAAAGCGAACGACATTTCGCTAAAGGACTTTGTGCTTTTAATATAGTATAGATATTAAAAGTACGAATGCTTTTAGCGAAATGTTGTTCGCTTTTTTTACCCTTTAAAATTTGATTTCACATAAGGCGAAATGGTCATTTGACTACAATCAGACCTCTCTATAACAACATTCTCATATAACAACCATTCACTTGCCAAGTTTTTTCTTGGAATCGATTTTTATGTTATGTTATAATATATATTTTCTAACATTCTTTCACTATAGCAGCAAAAAAATATCGGAACAAACGAAACTGTTATAGAGAAGTTTGACTGTATTTCCTAATATTTAGGAATATCCATTTAATTAATTTTCTAATATTTAGGAATAATTAAGTAATTATTTTTTTGAATATTTAGAGCTTTTGTTTTTGAATTTCTTTTCCATTCTACAATTTCAAGGACGTTCAATTTACACTAGGAAAGTTTAAATCTTAGATAATTAATTAAAATTTTCAATTCCTTCGGTAGGAAAGTTTAGTTCTTTTTCAATTCGTTCACTATAATAAAATTTCGTTTGATTTTTAATCCCTTCAGTTGAAAAATTTCGTTCCTTCTCAATTTTTGCACGAGGAAAGTTTTTACTTTGAAATCCATTTATATTTAGGAGTATTAAATTTTACACTAGGAAAGTTTTAACCAATTCATACCTCTTTTAGGTTTAGAAAGGTTTTTAAAGTTAGTAAAATTTTGACAAATTAATTCTTTACGAATATATTAGGTACAAAACGACACTTTGAACTTCTTTTTGGTTTAGGAGTCTTAATTTTTAATAAAATATTTTTTGTCTATTTGAGCTGAACACAATTTTATCTTATATAAATCCTTTTTTGATTTGACTTTGTAAAAAATGGAGACAATTCAAATATATACATTATACATGCCGACTAAGATAACATAGTCATGCTTCATTTGGTTTGTTATTCAAGTGATAACTCACTTGTCTTAGCATGTTTTTTAATTATAAATTTACAATTAACGAGTGTATTTACATAGTTTTCAAACATGATGAATTAAATTGTACGAGTAATTAGAAAAGAAAAAACGACAGCTTAATTTCTTTTTGACTTTATAAAAATATAAGTAGATACTATTAGGTAAAATAACTTATAATTATGTTACATAGTTTAAATAAATATTAATTTATATAAAATAAAATCTTAATTTTTTTTAAACAAAGAAAAATTTAATAACCCATAACGTTAGTTGGTTTTAAAGTAAATTAAATATCAGGAAAATAATACAAACTAATATTATTGTTTTGAATTAAAAAAAACTAATTTATTTCCTTTAATAGAACAAATAATTGAATCTTTGACTTAAATAATTAGCAACAACAACCAATTTTATTTTATTTTTCAAATTCATCATATAAGTAAAATTAATTATTTGTTAAGTTGACAAACTATTAAGGCATATAAATTTATTTTCATAAAAAGAGCATTAGCGGTGAAAGAAGTCAGAAAATAGAGCCAAATCAATTGTAGTATAGTATTGACAACTAAATTGGTAAAAACACACATAATAAGAATAAAATAGTAGAAGACAAAATATATCATAAATAAATTATCATTTTTTTTTGCTCCATCCAACAAATGACAACGTTTCACTATATTATTTTTTATATTAATTTATTTGTTATAAATATTATATCAATATTAGTCATTTTTTCAATTTTACATTGCCATTAGCAAGTTTTTTTAGGAGGTATAGGGTTAAAAAAGCGTAAGATTCAATTTTTAGCTTATGTTATTTGAGAGTCGTGATAAAATAATTTTATGTTTTGTTTTCAGTATTAGATTACCGAAGAAGAACATTTTTATAAGGCATTCAAACATAAATCATCATAAATCTTAATAAGGCATCTCATAACTTCTAAGAAACATGATTTCTTCATTTATTGAGCTAGATAAATGAGAAAAATATTCATCATTTTAAGATATTTTTTATTTTATAATTTTATATAACTCAAACATATTATTTAATATTATTTATGTGATTTAAAAAAAATTATTTATTGAAATAAGCAGAGATAATGTTGTGCCACCTAAAATTGATACTGTACTAATATTTTAAAGATATATCTCTAGATTCTCTTCCCTCTCAAAAGGGAGACATATTTAATTAGATATTACAAATTTTCGTATTTCACCTTACAAGGTGTCCCGGGTATTCATAGATTTTGTTTACCTGGTGTATTAACCTAATTATTATTATTGTTATTACTCTCACTAATTACTAGTACTAGTAGTAGGAGTAGTATTCTTCCTCTTTGATTTTGATGATTGCAAAGTTACAATTCTTGATAGAGTTTTCACATGTGATAATCGGATATGAGGCGCACTTTTTAAGACAGAAGAAGCCATATTTCTATTCAAAGATCGCACTTTGGCACTCTCCTCCTCGAATTCACAAGCATTGATCGAGCTTTGAGCTTTCTCATATGGGTATGTCTTCTATCTTTCTGATGCTCCAATCCACTTCCATAGTTCCCAATTCACACTCTAAATGATCTGCTTTTAACTTCCGCCCCATTAATTTCGTGCTCCATATTCATAAACCAAATGCCATGTAATAGTTCTTCAGTTTACCGTCTTTCTCACGGTTTAACTATATGTTTTTTGTTTTCTGGCCATTGGGTTTTAGTTGTTAAGTAGTAACTCAACTCACCTCATTGATGGGGATGGGGTATTCAATGTTGCTGGACTTGAGAACTTCTCGAAGGAAGTTAAACTGGCAGAATGCGGTCTTTCATATGCTGTAGTATCCATTATGGGCCCACAAAGTAGTGGTATGAACAATTTCTTGGAAATGTGAACACTTATCGTTCATTTTGCTCTTTGGAATCTATTGACTTCAATTTAACTTGAAAACTTGAAACCCAAATGTCTTCGGAATCTATTTAGTTGGAGTAATCTATCCCCTGTAAATGATGTTATCACATTTCAAGATTTCATTGGCTCTATAACTTTGACTCGGCAGCCAAGCTTTTTGTTTTTTTGGTTAGCTCCCCGCCCTGGATAATGTACTTTTTGTAATGGGGCTAACCCATCTTCTTTTGTACTTTTTGCATCTTCTTGACTGTTATATAACACCTTACATAAAAGAATGTAACTTGGGAATGTTGATCCTTAGTGAACAAAAGGTCAAAAGCATCCTAAAGCTGATTCAGATCTTCCTGTGCATGTTTTAGAACGGCTCACTTTTTAGACCTCTCCTTTATCAGGATACCTTTCAGCTCTACTGACCACGGGTCATTTTGATCTATGTTGCTCGGACTCTCCGAAAATGTTACCGGGTGCGTGTCGGATCCTCCAAAAATAGTGTATTTTTGGAGGATCCGACACGGGTGTGACATTATTTTGGAGAGTCCACGCAACATAGATTTTGATTAACTCTTAGTCATTGATTTTCTTTTGAGTTGATGCTATTCCATAAATGCCAATTTTGACAAATTTTAAATCATTTTGATGCTATTCCATGATTATGACAGGGAAGAGTACGCTGTTAAATCATCTTTTCTTTACCAACTTCAGAGAGATGGATGCTTACAAGGGAAGGTAAGTCTTTGGAAGTTATGTTATTAATGCTAATTCTCTGATATTCTATTGAAGTGAGCTGAAAGAATTTACTTCATTTCAGGTCACAAACCACGAAAGGTATTTGGATGGCTCAATGTGATGGAATTGAGCCTTGCACCCTTGTTATGGATTTAGAGGGCACTGATGGAAGAGAGCAAGGAGAGGTGTGGTTATAAATGCAAAAAAAATGATTATTGACTTTCCTCTTTGTTGCTCCATTCAATGCAATTCTTGTGACCAGACATATATTATTCTCAATTCATATCTGCATGTACTGCTGTATGATATATTTGTATTCATTGTTACCGCTAATATGAATCAGCTGTTTGTTACTAATTAAAGAGGACACAAACCAATTATTTTCTTGATTCTTTATTAGCCTTGTTGTCTCGTATTGCTTTTAAAATTTAATGTATCCGGCTCCTTGACCTATGAAGACAAATTTAAGACTAGTAGCTTTCTCTGGGCCATTGTCTAGGACAATGCTCCTGACATAATGCTGGAAAAGTTCTTACTAATTGGCTTGTGTATGAGACATTTGATTTTGCTTCCCGTATTGTCTGTGTCAATGTTGTAATATCCATCTTCAATCATGTATATGAAAGAGATAAATTTGGAGCCGCCAAAATTCAGCTACCAATGCTCATTGAATGCTCCCTGCCCATCATTTGTCATGGAGTGTTATAACTGGGCATAGAGCTTATTGTTTTCTCATTCAGACTTTATTTTCCTTTTAGGATGACACTGCATTTGAAAAACAGAGTGCCCTGTTTGCACTTGCTGTTTCCGATATAGTGCTAATCAACATGTAAGCTTCCTTTAGTGTATGAAGTACATAGACTTGACATAAAATAATACCAGCAAAAATTGAAATAGACAAGTTGATCAAATGTCTCAACATTCAGGTGGTGTCACGACATTGGCCGTGAGCAAGCTGCAAATAAACCTCTTTTGAAGACTGTTTTCCAGGTAAAAGTAGAAAAAATTTACTATTTTTTTTGTATATCCTGGATCAATTTACTGATTTCTTTATGTTAAACAGGTCATGATGCGGTTATTTAGTCCTCGTAAAACGACATTGATGTTTGTTATACGTGATAAAACAAGGGTAGGTTCCTTCCTCTCTTATAAATGAGTGTTACACATTCAACTGCAAATTGTATAAAGACTTCAATAAGCCAGTTAATTTTCCAATTGAATTTTGTAGACTCCACTTGAGAATTTGGAGCCTGTACTACGGGAAGATATTCAAAAGGTACTATATGCACGATTCTTCTTATTATGTTTCGTCTTACAAAATCAAATATTATTTTTTGTTCACTTCTCTTGGATATAGATTTGGGATTCCGTCCCAAAGCCGCAAGCTTACAAGGAAACACCTTTAAGCGACTTCTTTAATGTGAGTCTCATTACGATCTGTCCTAACCTTCTTACTGTCTCTTTTATGTCTATGCATGTTCATGTAATGAAATGATTGACATTCCAGGTCGAGGTTGTGGCTCTTTCTAGTTATGAAGAAAAGGAAGAACAATTCAAAGAACAGGTACTTTAAAGTAAATTAATGGAAACAATGATCATTTTATCTTTCTTTTTCTCTTTTAAAAAGTTTAATTTCTTAGAAGTGGTTACTTTGCCAATATGGTTTTTCCTTTTCCAGTTTAATGGGCTTTGAGTTGCTTATTTCTGTTCATTTTTGTTTTCTTCATAAGGTGGCTAGTCTAAGACACCGATTTTTTCATTCTATTGCACCTGGTGGGCTTGCTGGAGATCGTCGGGCAGTTGTTCCTGCTTCGGGCTTTTCATTTAGTGCTCAAGAGATATGGAAGATTATAAAGGAGAACAAGGACCTTGACCTGCCTGCCCATAAGGTTAACATTTGATTCTCTTTGAAGTTTCCGGTTATGTTTCCATAGTTATTGTGTTTGATTCTTATCTAATTACAGGTTATGGTAGCTACTGTACGCTGTGAAGAAATTGCCCATGAAAAATATGCTTCTTTTACAGAAAATGAGGTATTGAATTGTTTTGAAGGTTAACTTAATGTGTTGTACATTCTTATATTTATTGACAATCTCTGATAAAATTGCCCATAAATATGTGCTTTTTTCAATACAAATGAGGTGTATTGACGTGATTGATCTTTGTTCTAGGAATGGTGTCAATTAAAAGAGGCCGTGCAATCTCATCCAGTCCAGGGCTTTGGAAGGAAGCTTACCTCAATTTTAAACAGTTGTCTGTCAGAGTAGGGACATACTTTCATGCAGTGCAGCATTAACTTTTCTATAGCTGTGTGCTTGTATTTTTTCCTACGTCTACCAAATTTTGCGACCAAATTTCTATCATTTCTTATACAATCTCTGGTGACAAAGTCTAAAACTGCATCTATGATACCAAAGAATGTAGGAAGCCTGTAACTTTGTCTGAAGAGAAGCTACTACACTAAAACTACAAAGTTGCACTTCTACAGCGATGTAGATCTGTACAGAATTCTCTTTTTCCTATTGATATAATTTGATGTTTTTTCTGTTCTTGATACATGTTATATCAGTTGTGGTGTACGTATTTCATTAATAAGGACATGTGCACTTGGTCAGTAACATTCTTTCTTTTCAGGTATGATGCTGACGCTACTTTCTTTGATGATGGAGTAAGATCTACAAAACGGAAGCAGTTGGAAGAGAAATTGCTGCAGGTAATGGTGGAAAAAAAATAAAAAATAAAAAAAGAAGAAAAAGAATTATTATTTTTTCATTTATAATATTAAGTTAGATAATGTAACCAATTGGAAGAGAAACTGCTGGAGTTAATGTTCTAAGCTTTTTTAACCTTTGAAGGTACATTTTCTGATTGCTTTATCTAGTTACTTATCCTTTCTCCTATTGCAGCTTGTCCAAGAAGCGTACCAATCTATGCTGGGACACATAAGATCTCGTACTTTGGAAATATTCAAAGAAGCATTTGATAAGGCACTAAAGGGAGGTAAAGGGTTCGCTGTGGCTGCTCAGGACTGCACCGAGTTTTTTATGTCCCACTTCAATGAAGAATGTGCAGGTACAAGATATAGCCTGCTATTGCTGCCCTGCATGATATATTATATACGGAAAAGGGCCAAAATTATTGTTACCTTTTTCAAAAAAAAAGGGGCCAAAATTACCCTTCAACTATTGGAAATAGACCACATTTGCCCTTCGTTATCCTTTGGTATCAAAATTACCCTTGCCGTTAGTAAAGTGGACCACTTTTATCTCTTAAAACTAACCGCTGTCCATGTCAGCATATATAGGTGGAAAAAACACCCACCCATTAACCCGTCCCATTTATCCATTAACCCGTATTTTATCCCGCGGCCCGTCCCTTTATCCCCTTTCCTTTAACGCTGTAAGTAGAGGACTATGTTAGACGGGGAAGGCTGGGGAAGGCTTTGCCTGTAAATGACTGATATTATGCAGGGATTAAATATTGAGTTCAGTCACGGCGGATTAGCTTTTGAAATATGACTACTAGTACTGTTTTGCAGATGCTGTTATTGGGCAAGCAAATTGGGATCCCTCTAGAATAAGGGATAAGCTCAAGCGTGATGTAGATGCTCATATTGCTGAAGTTCGTAGTGCCAAGCTGGCTGAAGTTACAACCCTCTATGAGGCACGAAGTTTGCGAACCTGTATGTTTTAATCATTGTAGTACCTATCAAAAAGTAAAGTTCATTTAATCCTTTGGTAGTGCTTTCCTGTTGCATTTTGACATTCAAATAATTTGTCGTTCGCCTATCCCTCAATCAATCTAGGAAAAAAAGGAATGTTTGGGTTTTCCCTTTCTTATGTGGGGAGTTTGTCATCAGCCAGTTGCAGCTGAGAGCTGGATTGCTGCATTCATTCATGAAATAAATTGAAATGTTGATTGTTTTTAAAGAATCTTATATTATAGCACGCAACATTGAGAACTATATTTTTAGATTCAACTGTTCTTTCTAATTTCCCTCACTTATAGTACTAATGTTATTCTTGTATTTCCCATTCTTAGATGTCACTATTACCCGTTGTTTATTTTGCTTCGGTTATCTTACTTTGCTGGCTGCTGTTACTGTTTCTTTTTCTAAAGCTTCTCCACCTCCATATTTCTTTGTCGTCTGCTGTGACTATGCTTTCTTTGAGCCGAGGGTCTATCGAAAACAACTTCTCTACCTTCACAAAGTAGGGGTAAGGTCTGCGTACACACTACCCTCCCCATACCCTACTTGTGGGATTACACTGGGTATGTTGTTATTGTTGTTGCAAGTTGCAACTGTTCTTTCTAATGTAATTATACTGGCACTAATGGGAATTCAGACAAAATTGAACGAGGCATTAGCTGGACCTGTTGAAGCTCTTTTAGATGGAGCTGGTGATGATACATGGCCAGCGATAAGAAAGCTGCTTCAGCGTGAGACTGAAACCGGAGTCTTGGGTTTCTCTACTGCACTTTCTGATTTTGAAATGGATGAACAAGCTAGAGATAATATGGTTTCAAGACTGAAGGATTATGCACAGGGAGTAGTTGAAGCAAAGGCAAAGGAAGAAGCTGGAAGGGTTTTGATTCGCATGAAGGATAGGTACAGACATGAGTTACTCTATTCTCACTCTTCTTGACAGAAAAGTTGATGAAGAAGAGTTACTGACCTGAAAATTATTGACAGGTTTTCAACATTATTTAGTCATGATTCTGATTCAATGCCACGAGTTTGGACTGGAAAAGAAGATATCCGAGCAATTACCAAAACTGCTAGATCAGCTGTATGACTGACTAGATTGAGCTTCCTCATTTGGATGTGATTTCAGGTTTGAGTATTACATTTCAGTCTGTGTTGACTCCTTCAAATGTTCTCCCAGTCTCTGAAGCTCCTGTCAGTTATGGCTGCGATTCGCTTGGAAGATGAGGGTGATAGTATAGAGAAGACACTAGCCCTTGCTCTTGTGGATGGAAAATCAGGTGCTTCCACCTCAGAGAGATCCACATCTGTTGATCCTCTAGCCTCTAGCACTTGGGATGAGGTAATTAGCTTAATAAATGACGTGGTTTGTGTTAGAAGTTTTTGCAAGCAGAAAAAGTAACCAAAGAGGGGGTGGTGGGGTGGTGGGGGGACAAGATCCCGGCAAGTCTGGATGCCCAACAAGATGTCATAAAATGTGAATGTTTGCTTCGAATCTTCCCAGTCATGGCCATTAACTATGTTATGTAATTTTTTTTATATAAGCGTGAAATCCATGTGAATTAGCTAGCCCAACCCCAATTGTAAGAACAGGTTTGAAACTTGATGGAGTATGGTCCCGCACCTCTACGCTGCTCCCATTTGAATTCCATATTTTGTGTCAGTGGCAGGAGTCGAACTCGTGACATGCGCCCAATTCATACAGCCTGCGCTGCGTCCTTAGAACTGAACCAAAGTTCTGGGGGCTAAAGTATGTTGTGTTAAAATCTGGATCGGGTTTTCTCAGTCCAATACTTCACGTGCATATGATAAAGCTCACGAGTCACCACTTAGTTTCAGCTTTAGAAACTGTACCTCTGACATTTTATGGTTTATTTTGCTTGCTATCTTCCAAGCTGTCAAGTTGATCATCTTTAAGTCAATTTTTATTGCAGGTCCCCGCATTGAAAACTTTGATCACACCTGTCCAGTGCAAGTCTTTGTGGAGGCAATTTAAATCTGAGACTGAATATACTGTTACACAAGCCATTGCTGCTCAGGCATGATCTTTTGGCTGCTATTGCATCGCTTCAGTCTTCTTTTGAAAGTGAAGTCCTTTTATACCTGTTTTGGTTGGCAGTAAGGTGGATTAGCAATGTTGAATAATATGTCTAGATTAATGGCTGGGTAACTATAATTGGTTCTTGGAAGTCGATTTTGAACAAAGCCTACCCCCTTCAGTTGATGTTGGGGTTTCAGAGCAACTGTTTGAATGTAACTGTTTAAGCAGTTTAAGAATGTGTGGGTTCTCACTCACGTTATCTGTGCTTGTCACTGTGATTTTAACTATTATCTGAGCTGTTATAAATATGCGCAACATTTGCTGTACATAGTTGGTCTTACCATGTTGACTTTCTATTCGGAATATTTCTTGAGAAATTCTTTTGAGTTTTCTGATTGCCATTTGAATATTTGTGGTTTCCCCTTATGCTGTATCTTTCTGATTTTCTGGTACTTTACCCTGCAGGAGGCTAGCAGGAGAAGTAACAATTGGTTACCACCTCCTTGGGCAATTGTTGCCTTGGTTGTTTTGGGTTTCAATGAATTCATGACATTTTTAAGGTACCTTTTCTGCTAATAAATCAGAAAGCACCACAATTTGATACATTCATGTTTGTGTACCCACTGGCATGGTGTATCCATCGTTGATTGCTTAACTTATGTTGAGATTTACTTTTTCTCCAGAAACCCTTTGTATTTGGGAGTTATATTTGTTTCTTTTCTACTACTGAAAGCCCTTTGGGTGCAAATGGACATCTCCGGTGAATTCCGCAATGGTGCTGTAAGTATCAGATCTGAATTCCTATTATATCAGTTTCTATGTTTTAACTGCAATTTGACCAATTAACTCTTACACGCCATTTCTGTAGCAGCTGACTTTCTAGACTTCTGTTTTGATAAGGTTAACGCAACCAATATAGTCAAACTTTCCTAAATTTAATGGTCCTTGATAAAAAAATATGTTCATTGTTTTCCTGTGGATCTTTTAGACGGACATCTGGATTCCACCTTCATGTTTCGTGTGGGCTTTCAGGAGTTATTATTTAATCTAATCTAGTCTCTGGTGGTGAAACATTCTTAGACTAGAAGTTGAAAGCAAGTGTGATTTGCCCAATTTCATTACTTTACTTGCAATATGGAGAACTTCCTTAAAAAATTTTAGGGAACTGATCTTCAATTTATGTGTTTCAGATTCCTGGACTTCTCTCTTTATCCACAAAGTTCCTTCCTACTGTCATGAACCTTCTTAGACGACTAGCAGAACAAGGACAAAGGCAGGCAAATGGCGAACCGCAAGGAAATCCTGCCCCTGCGTCAAACAGTTTCAGCGGTAGCCCCGATGATCATAGTGCTGTATCATCAAGTGCTTCCTCTAACATGACTTCTTCAGAAAATGTAGCAGAATATTCTAGCCCCTCTATACATGATAAAACGAAGTAAATATAGAGCAGTCTTATTCTATTTCATAAGAACAAGCTTTCATGCTCGCGCGGATGTGGTATCGTGCACAATTCTGCTCATGGCTTCCACCTTAGAGGCAAGCATGTAAAGATTCAGAAACTGAAGGCACTGGTTCTTGTGTAGGACATGTATACTGGGCAGCGACTTGAGGTGAATGAGGTCCCCTCTTAAAGTAGATTTTCTTTCTCTCTTTTTTCTTTTCCCTTCTTCTGCCCCCTGCTAATTGCTATAGCTTCCTTTTTATATATCATTTACCTTTCTTATCTGGTTTTGAATATTAACCTTTCCCTGGTTTTGCCGTACATTTTGTCTTAGGAGAAGCCTAATATCATGTCTGCCTGAAGAATTAGCAACAACTGTATCTTAATGAAACATGACAATCTCAAGATTAAAGCGATGCTACTGAAACGTTTTTTATTGACCTTCACCCTTGTTCATGTTAAGTTTCTGCTTGGGCATTACATCAACTCAACTAAGAAACTGAATAGGGGTTGGCGTAATTTTGATTTCTTCTTGTTAATATTATTTTCTGTTGCTATATTATTGCATTTTTGCAACTGCTACTGCAAAGATAATTCCTTGCCAAAGGTTAGGTTGGTAGTATCGGATTGTTCAGAAAATTAGAGTTTCCTGCCTTTGCTGTTTGGCTTATGGTCTCAAACTAAATCAATAGAGTGATGGCAATACTATTCAGATAGATATTACACTTTTCTGGTTTCTTATGTGAAAAGGAAGAGGGGACTACTGGCACTTATATTACATTGAGCTTTTTACTTTTTAGTTTTTACTTCTTATTGTGGAATGTAGAGTGAGATTCTTGAAGAAACAGTAAGTCTAGTTTGAAACTAAGGGAAAGGATCAGTGAGGAGAGGGAAGAGAGGTAGGATCTTTGGTCTATTTTTAGTTATCTTCAAGAGCAACCACGTTGCCATTGTTAGGCTCTGATATAGGTACTAATATCCTTCATATCTGTTTACTTAACTAACTTTTTCTGCCTTTTCTTTTAGTAAAATTTTCCTTGAAATTTTAACTTCTTTATTTTGGAGTTGTGGCCATGAATGTAGGGTAGGAAAGATAGGAAAAGGGAGTACCTTATGTTGGATCAAAAGGTGACATTAATTAAGAAGCCTCTGAAAAAGGCTAAATGGTGAGTAAATTGATAGTTGAGTTCAATTTTGTTCAGGCTCTTTGACAATGGTGGTGCCACTTTTTATTTTTATTTTTTTAGATACAAATTCTGAGGATTGGTGGTGCATGTTCAAAACTCAATAGATTATGGGTCATCTCTATCCTTCTCCATTTAAATATCTGATTTTTGTCGGCGGCATTTGTGATGTGCCCCTAACCCACTGAACTAACTTGGGTTAATTTTATTTTCGTATCATAATTTAAAATGAATTTTACCTTGCAAATACACACCCTACGCATTCAACAAATGAACCACAGAAGTAGAGAACGCATCTATTCCTGTAAAAGAGAGGTCTGAACCTTTGGTGGGTACGTTTCCACCATATGTGGTCTAAAATTGGCAAATGGCAATTGTCATTTGCCAATTTTCCCAGCCTGAGATGTTAAAGAAAACATATAACAAGTCTGAGTTGGGGCTCAACTGCCAAACTACGACGTATTCAATACACATGCACATTTCGATTTATTTTGATCTTTCTATTTGTGCAGTTATTTCATTTTCATTGCATGCCACTAGTACCCAAAAAAAGAGAAGATATTCGTAGTAATGATTGTACAACTGTGTTTTTCTGACTCCTCCTAACTAACAAATTAACATACATAATTCATATCCAACCTTCAGTGGAGGGTGGAAGAGGATGTTGTCCTAAAGTTGTGAACCTGAAAAAAAACGTAATTAATCTGCTATGCTTATATGCACATGACATGTTCCAACTGTATGAACGTTAATGAATGTTACTCCATTGGCTTGAAATTAATATCTTAGACTCAGCACCACAGATACAAACTTGATTAGGACATATATCTGTTAATGAAGGTCAACCCCTAAATCATAATGTATTTGTTGCCCTCTTTATGTGGCAGCTTTACGAACCCAAGATTTCTCTCTCTCGATCTCAAACCAAATTAAAGGACTAACTTGAAAGTCAGCATTTTTGTTTTTTGTTCCTTCAATTATATCATGGTTGATTGAAATTAAACTAAAGATAAGACGGACCTAAACCTCGTTAAACCAAGATTCATCGACAAGCAGGCTTTAGATTAAAATTTAAGATAACCTTGAAATTAATTGGTGAATTTACTGCGAGTATTTGGTCCAAATAGTAGTCATTTTGAAGAAGAAAAAAAAGTATAATAATTAAACGGTCTCTTTTTTGCCCTTCTAAAATGTCAAATATTTCGGAAAAAGAAAATTGCGAGTCATTTATGTCGTTACTATTTTTATTAGAATTAATTAATTAGAGATGTTTAAAGAGTGATAAATGTACTTTAGATAAATATTTTTATGATAAAGGCTATGTATCATTCTTATGGAGTATAAACATTAAAAGACAAATAATATATAGGGGAAAGTAGTATGCAGAGGCGAACCTATGTTCTACAGAGAGAGAGGTCACGGGCACCCGTAAAGTTTGACAAATTTTTTATGTATATATGTATATGATTTTAGAAAATAGTAATATATTAGTAGTGAAAATCCTATACACAAAATAATTTTTGGTTGAATCTAAAATTACACAAAATTTGTGTTAAAAGTCAATGTTTATAGTTTGTAGTTTAGTATTGACTCTTTAACATGGCTATTGGCTTGTACCATTATACATTTATATGTTTGTCTCGTGCGACGACATGCTTATCTCTCTATCCAAGCCACGCTTTCCATGTTAAGCTAAAAACCATATGGTATTATTAAAACTTGTACTTCTCTAGATTTCAACTCCATTACTTAATTTTACCGTACGTACCACAGAAATATAAAAAGAAGCTAAAAAATACAACATAACCTCTAACGTCATAACTGTTGAGGTTTTTTAATTTTTTAAGATGAAATAGTATTAAAATGAGGGTGAATGGGAAATGGAGGGAAAATAAAATTTTTGAGTAAAATTTTAAGTTTTCCCATCTTGACAATGAGACATTGTCCCATATTGGAAGAGGAAAAGATTTTTGGTGGGTATATATATAATTGCTCTTCTTGTAGCTCTTAAAGAGTTAAGAAGAAAGCAAGTCTCGCGCCGTCGTCGTCGTCGCTCGGCTCGACTTCGGCTACGGCTTCGGCTTCGGTCAAACGATTGATTGATTAATTTTTTGGACCAAATTTATTTGTTAATAGTAAATATTAACTCCGCATTTATAACGGATATTTTCCAATCCGTGTATTGACCATCAGGCAGCCGCCTAATGCTCTTCCCACCATGAATGTGCTTGCTCCACAAACAAGTGCTTGCTCCACAAACAAGCTAATGCTTGCTCCACCATGGAGGGTGGACGATTGTTCTTCTTCAACACTAGCTGCTATATATATGTGCAGCAGTTGTTGAAGAAAGACACACACAATATACAAGACACAAAACTGAAATCGCTCAACAGATTTGGCTATACATTGCACTTCTTCCTCTCAGC